CACCGATCCCGTGGGGCGATCACCACCCCAGTGCTGATACTGTAGTGCCCACCTTAACCACCCTCCTTCATAACCATAAACCTATCTAGCCTATCAAAGTACCCGGTAATTACGGATAAAGGGCCGACAATCCCCTTAAACCGTTACTCAATAGCTAACCCACCCCTACCCGAAGGATGACAAAAGACCAAGAATGCAAAGGAAAACCCCCTACAAATGAGGGAAGAAATTGAGGAAGTGTTGTTGTTTTTGTCGCATGTATCGTCGTTGTTGTTGTCGTTGTTGGTGTTATTGTTGTCGTCATCACCGCTGCTGTCACTGCCAACACCGTTGGCATTAGTGTTGTTGTTGTTGTTGTCGCATGTGTCATTGTTGTAGTTGTTGTTGGTGTTGTTGTCGTCGTCATCGCCGCTGCTGCCACTGCCGACACCATTGCCGATGTAGATTGTATAGTCGGTGTCGCATGTGTCGTTGTTGTCACCACCGCCGCCACTGATGAATGTATGGTTGATGATGCGATTGCTGGTGTTGTTGTTGCAACCGATGCCATCGTAACTGCCTGCGCCTCGATCGCCTTGCACAGGGCCCGACCCTCCGTGAAGATGGCATAGCACCACTGCATAAGGGTCTTCACTTGCCGCCAATCAATGAGGTCATCCAGCTGAGGAGCTGACCCGTCCTCCAATTCCCAGATGACATCCAACATATTCTGCTTCGAGTCTTCCATCCAGGAAAGCAATACCGTCGCCCCCCCTTCGACCGCATGCCAATCCCTTCCCTTCGCAGACAAAGCCTCCACAATCCTTCGCAAGCACACGCAGCCCTCCTGAATGGTCAACAACCATTCTTCCGCATCGTGTTGTAGTTGAACCAATGAAGCTATCGCCCCCGATTGTAGAGCGCGCCGCCAGATAACAAAATTATGCCCCTCACACCCACGCGCTGTCTCCCAAGCTGCCAGGTGGAAAGTGAACTGTCGTCTAGTCGAAACAACCAGACGAGCAGTTAGGATGACTAGGAGCAGCGATGGTCGCCACTGCCCCAGTCTCCAGAGTGCAGCCGGGCCTCGCCGGCTGGTCCGTAGCGCAGGTCAGCGCTAGGAGCGTTAGCGCTCTCCAGGAAGTTTTTGTCCTTCCTTTTTTGGATTTTCTTACGCATTTCTGTTCGTGAGAACATAGGAGATGCTTGCTCTTTGACTTTCTCCCATTGTGCAATTAGCTCTGTCTGTACCTGTTTTTTAATCAGGTCTGTGAAAGCCAGGCCATCTATGCAAGCACCTTCCATCTCGAAAACACAGTGTCACTACCATAGGACCCAGAGTATTATCTTTGCCCTATGTCAAACATATTGTCCTCAAAGGTACTGTTTTGATCGGATTGCCAGGACCCGCACAGCAGCGCCCTCTAGTCCCATGCTCATTGAGTCGTTGTGCCCATCTGTTACCATATCCTCTCACACCACCTCGTAGTCCATATGGAGCCCGGGCATTGTACAATTATGTGCTCAATAGTCTCTAGGATTTTCTATGATGGGTAGGCGGCGGAACACAATCTGCACCAGGGAAGGGGCCGGCCTTGTTGTTCAAGCCTGGTTCTGTCAATCAGCCAGTCGTTGGTTGGCAGGCACCGATGGTCAATCTTCCATAGTAGTGATGCTGTTTAAAGCCTGTTTTTGCTGGCCTTGTTCTGACGCCCCTAACCCAACAAATATGACGCAGTGTTTCTCTGCTCACATTCAAGTGTTTCATCCATCTTTGCGTGGCCTGTTCCTTCAGATCCACCCGAGGGCACAACATCCGGTAGGCGCCCGCTGCGCCCTTGACTGTCAAGGAGGACAACTGCTTTCCGACACTCCTGCCTTTTTTCCGTTGCACAGTCCACACCCAGTTTTCAGGGTCAAACGATAATTCAACTATGGGTTTGTTCAGTCCGAAGGCCGTCCGTTGTTCTTTTTCCTTCAGAATCCAGATTCTGAACACCCGTGCTCCCTGCATCCAGCGCGTCTTTTTTTTTTTTTTTTTTTTTTTTTTTTTTTTTTTTTTTTTT